GATTTTCGCATTTAACGGTAACATTAAAGACTGAATAAAGATGACTTAATAGCGTGTCGACACGCATTGTCTGACATTGAAGTTATAAACGGTGTCTATTGCTTAGAGTTATTAATGTTTGATGATAGTGTAACAAAACGTTTACATTCTATGCTAAATATGGAGTACTAATATTATTATGTGTACATTAGTACACATCATGATTGTTATGCGCTCAGTCTGTCACGTTCGCTCAAGATTAAGGTGATTGTGTTTATTGTAACAATTTGTTTTAGACTGTAATCTTCGAAAATGTTCATTTATAAAAATATTTCTTTGTCAAAATATCATTATTTTTGTAGAGACATAACCCTAAGTCTGTGACGTCTTTTTCTTTCTTTAAAATTTTATCCAAAAAACCTATCAACTGGGAAACCGACCCAAGAGTTGGCAGCAACCTTGCCCAACGTCTTTAGCGTAGCTATAAAAAGTGAGATCTTTGCCAGCATTTTTATTTTAAACCTAATTTAATCTAGATGTGATACACAAATTGCATTTTATATAAAATGTTAAATCGTTTGACCGTATACAGCAATTTAGTTGTTCACACTTAGCGCAAATATTGTTTGCGTGGTCTCGCGGCGATTGCTGTCGCGTAATAAACAAAATATTTTAGGTATCACTATAGCACTACAATAAAAATATTTGAATAATTTAACTATTTTTACGGATTTAAATCGTGTGAATTTGTTTTATCAAACAAATAAACGTTTCAGACCTTTTACGCTAGATCCTATAGTCACGGCTGACGCAGTGATATAGATCCGAAAAAATTGTTTTAAAACAATCGCGAAAACTGAAGAATTAGATGTGAAATCTTTGTTTTGAAAACTCAATTTCGTACAACAGACTGTCGGTAATTTATAATCATCATTAACATAGCATCCTCGCCTAGCTGACTGGCTAAAAACTTCGGCATAAATGTCATGCCCAAAGATCGCAATGCAACCAATTTAAAATTCATCAATGCCACTCCTCTTGTTAATTTATCTCTTTGTATTTGCTTTTAATCACTCACAACCTATTCTAAAAATAAACTATGTAGTGTTATAGACCAATTTGTATAAATAACATCGTCATTGTTTATGATGCCTATTTGTTATAAGTTTACAATCACACTTGCGTCTGTTTTTGATTGATATCGTACGCCACATTCCGTAGTGGGTATGAATCATTGAAGGTATTCCCTTCGCTGTAGGTGACATTGAGGTAATGACCGCTTTTCATTGGTTAGTATAAGTAACTACATTAGTAAAAAAATGTATTCTACTCTTTCGATATTATGTTTTAATAAATAATACATATTTCGAGTAAATAACGGGGTAAAAGCCAATTTAAGTACAAAATATATAAGATAAGTGAAAAACAATACTTATAAACGTTTTCGTTCATATCCTTTATATAACTACGTTTACACAAAAAATCAATTTATTGACGAAAAATATTTGTTTAACCAAACAGATTGAATGAGCTTGAATATTTTACCAAAATACATGAATAGCTTATTTTTGGTCAAATTGGCTCTTACACCCTTCCTTCCCGGAAGTATCGATTACTAGTAAATGTCTTCTGTTCAATCAATTTAGTTAGAATACATTCGCAAGATCTGCTGGCAGTTGGGAGAGCATCAGGCACGATATGCTGAAGACGGTGGTTCGAATTTGAACATCATGGCAGTATAAATATCGAGATATTTAATACACTTAGCGATATTAAAATCAGTTGTCAAAATTGTTACTATTAAGACAATCGACAAATAAATCAATTGTAATAGAGGACTGTACATGCCCCGAATTAACCACTCTGATAATAATAGTATCAAAAAAAAAGAAAATTTCTTAAATTCACAATTAACATAAAACATGTTAACAATATCACTTGCCGTTATCTCGTTATTTCCACAACGCGATCGCTCCATCGCCTATTAACGGTCAATATAATTACCTCCAGTTAATTGGTCACATTATGTAGCATTTTTCATTCATTAACAACAAGTTTGCCGGTAAAATTCCAATTTGTTGACTCGTGCTAAGCACCTGTGCCTTCCTGACAGATGATCGGGAATGTTTTTATAATATAATAACGTTTATGGACACCTTTCACTTGACATCTGCGCGATAACTGACCATCAATGACGTAACATCTACAGGTATATATATGTACAGTCGAAGCTCTATGATACATGACCCCCCTATCCGTCTAGTTGCTTCTGAGTCTATCAGTGTGATGAAATGTGTCAATTAAAATAAACCTTTAATTTGTGAGCCGTAAATTTTTTTGGTATGAGTTCCTTATTCCATCACTAGCCAATGACGTTTTAAGCACCAGTTTAAACCAATTTGATCTTTAATTACATTACATGAATACAAATGTCAACCAAAAAGCTGGAATTCCTTTACATTTTTCTATTGAATGCGTAAGAAAGCTCTCAGAACAGAAATATCGGCTAGGGGGTCAGACATCTTAGGATATCGGCTGTACATCTAGCAAATATAGATATCTATCCTGATATAGATATCTATTATACTATAACTGCCAAATAACTATAATGCAAAATATACAGGTAGATATACTTTGCAGTACAGTTATTTAGCAGACATGTTGACATTGCGGATCATTAACTGCAAGACTCAAATGTACAGCCATTTCCATGCTTCTACTCCTGAGCCCTCGTTTCAATGACCCTTCGAGAAATTTCACATGCAAATGGCCATTCCGAAGGCATATGCTGCGATTTCAAGACGGATATTCCGCTTGGGATTTCCTACAAGAATAAGTTCGATAAAAATAGAAGAGGCTTATGGGAGGCTTTTGTGAATCTTGATGCGTGTAGACATGTGGCTGCATAAGAATCTGATATTACATTTTCCATATTGGACATCAATGACGTATATTTACAGAATGTCAGTTGTTCAGTAGTAAGATATTTATTGCAAAACCGTAAGGCATGACTAATGCTTGAACAAGCGTTCCAAATTGCAGTTGAATAATATTTTACCACTCTGATACGCTCTTACTGACCCCATACTTGGTCAACCGGATTGACTGAGATTGCATTTAGGCTCTTGTAAATGTTGCAACAAAACCTAATAATATTAGGAATGTACGCTGTGAAGTCACCCAGTACTAGATTAGATGTTGCAAATAATGCTTTCAATGTAACATCTTAAGTAACACGCAATTATGGTACATAGAGTAATCGATGGAAAAAGTCAGTCATAATGAGAGATGTAACTTCCTGCTTCTAAAGAACCAGTCACTCATGACCGTCACAATGGAGTAAAAGAGACAGCTATTGCACTGCTTGTAGTGTAATGGAGAATCGTTCCCAGGAAATTGTCATCGTATGTCATACACAACTCATACTCACGTCTTGAAGGAAAAATTGGTTATTATTTATAACATAGTCGATACGTGCATAGATTTGGAGTTAGATTTTCATTAAGTTTTTAATAAGTGGTCGTTTTGCGTCCATGTTAAAATCACCACTTGTTATATTTTATGTTGATCTAAGATATCATCATAGTTGCTAATCTAATCCCCCATTAAATCTCGCCTTAACTGGCGCAAATTGCAAATAAAACGTTATGTAACTCTAGTCTTATGCAAATGTTATGTAACTGCGGACAAAGTAACGCATGAAGACGAATGAAGCACGTCCGACACATTGGGTCACTTAGTCAAATCTTGTTGGTCGATGTTTGCGAAGTAAACAATCGAATATTGATATCTTAATATAAGTGACGTTCCTATTTAGTTAACCCACTTCCTCTTTTAGCAAATACGGAAAAGTCCCAAGTTTAATGAAAATTAGACGACAGTAGGAAAACTGGATTAAATTGTTAGAAGTAAATTTTTTGACGTTTCTATACTGTCCCAATATGTTTGGTGTTTACCTACTTTGTAAAAGTAGATAAAAATCGTTATTTATGAGTCAGACAACAATGAGTTTTTCCATGACGTCACCTTATTCCCAGTAGCAAACATTACCTTCACTACACAGTTTTTAAAAATACACTCCCTGTCCATAATTCTGTTTAAGAGCCATGAATTTATAGTAAGGCTAGGCTTAAAGTCCATTTAAATGCTAAGCACCTGAATTGTGTCCAATGGTGAGCAAACGCATAACAAATTAAGCAGGTCAAGGTAACACATCTAATGGACAGTTTCCACTTTTGAATGGGAATAGAATTGACTACAATAGGCTCACGCGGGACGCCTTTAACGACTAGGACCGAAGCTTGAATGCGAACAAGGTTAACTAAATCTGGATAGAATTTTATGCTGATTTCTTGCATGTACCTCATAGGTATAAAATCTCGATAAATATCTTCATTTAAATATTCAATATCATCGAAAAATATCTTGTTGTCTATATCTGTTACTACGTTATGTACATATTTCATTCACAATTTATGTAACAGATCTTAACACGTTGCATTGTCTATATCCGGCAATTTACTAAAAGTCCTTCACTTAGATTTCTAAACTATGACGATTTAAGTACATCCGTGGGTTATAACTTATTTCCGTTTAATTGTATTGTTATTCAAATTGTAAGTACAATATTTAGGTGCTCTCAAAACAAATTATTTAGCGACGAGTCCCTTTCATTAAAATGCTCCAAGTGGGTTCGTTAGCGACAGTTAGCATATCATTTAAGTAACTTCGTTGTGGAACTCCATCCATTAACCCAAATTGAACTCTATTGTCCAACGGCTCTTCATTATATTCTTGCACAGCCCTGTCAACGAGAATGTTGTCAAAGTAGTCGATTCCAAATGACGTGACATGATCGCTCTCAATTAATCAGTTGCATTTAGGTTACGGTGAGGCAGCTCTGTTGATGATAGAACTTATTGAAGTATCTATTTGAACTATTGACAATTGAGTAAAATTATACTTTTTGAGTAAGAACAGCAAGTATAGCCGCGCTAATAAATAAAATTCTTTCTTTTCAGACCAAAATGTAGTTAACTCAAACGAGGGTTAGGATTATATTAGATTACGATGTCAATTGACCAAGCGTCACCGCTGGTACCCATAAAGCCGCAAGTGGCCTTACAAAACAGTGCATTTATAAAAAATAGCCACAACAGGAGTAGTTTTTGCGGCGTGGTTCCATCACCAACAAATGGAAATAGCAGAGGAACGTTCAAAACTTTTGCTGTGAATAGAAAGAGTTGGAGTGGGAACGTGACGCTGCCTCTTCAGCCAGCGCCGGAACAAACTCCACAGCTAGCAACTTTTCGCTCCGGAACTGGGACGTTTCCTAGAAACAGGGAGCGGAACAATAACAGTTGTGCTTCGAACGGAATATTAACGCCAAACGGGAACTCCGTGCAGAGTTTCAGAGGAAATGAAGTGAGGAGGAACGGAGTCACCAATGGCAGACGCTATGCCGAAATCGGAAACTTTAAAAGGTAAGCGACGACAATGTTTAAATTTTGCGGGAGTGAGAAATCATTTTCAAAGTTGAAGAACTTTGTTTAATGGTGTCGAGAAGGGAAATGTTTGGCGGTAAACTTGCTCGTAACATTACTCACACACGCATAATTGTAAGGTTCGTGAAAATAAGATTTAAAATCTTTGCCATAAACAAAAAGAAAAGGAATATGTGAATACGTAATTTTACCACCTTAGTTAAGGTGACAAATTCTCTCAAGCCATCAAAGTTCTGCCTAGACAGGTAATAATATATAATAATAATAAGGCGGCTCGTACTAAAAACTTTTAGTCTTTATTTATTTTCTTTTTCATCTCGAATAATTCGGTAACAAGTTTTCCAATTTCATTCTCTCGCCGCTTTCATTTCCTCCCTTTTGCTCGTCCTGCTCCCTTAATATAACTTTTATTAGCTGAAAATGTTTAACAAACATTGAGGAATTCAATCATCGTTATATTTTATTTCAATAAAGAGATGGTTTCATTAAAAAATATTATTTTTTCTTTAGTAGATTATTTAAGAAAACCTGTATCTATGGACAGATATTTAGATATAGCAAAACATACAATGTTTCACGTAACGTACCTATTTTTGTCAGCTAATGATGAAAATTACTCAGTTGTGTAACTACCAGCCAGATAGTAGGCCGTCTCTATGAATGTTTACCACATTTATCTAATCGGAATCTTCATTATCGTTGCGAGTAGAAAGTTTGTCCATAATTCTCGTTCACTCAATTTGGGGCAGACTGAGTCGCCCGATAAGACCAACGTCCAATAATCTGGCTCTAGTGTTGTCTTTTTATTAGGGGCCAGTTGATCACATGATTTCCCTTTTACTAACTGTGATGTTATCGCCTAGCTATTTAGCGGTTCTTCCTTTAACCTCTTTATTGATGGTGTTTGCTCTAACTCCGCCAATTAATCCAATCTTCCATAAAAAATCTATCTTTATTTTCCGGTTTTATACAAATATACTTTTTCCTTTGCATTCTTCTAATAAGTTTTTCTTCACTTAATTCATGTTGATATTAAATTATGTTTCCAAATATGAATATAGATAAATTTCTTCTTTGTTCCTTCACTTGTTATCTTCAGTTGTACTTGCTTTGCATTTGCTCAAACAATGACGATTCTAAACAACTTTTATAGTCAACTATATATCTCTTGCAGTTTCCAATTATCTAGATAGTTGACTATAAATGTTGCAGTTGCCGTAATAATGCTTATTATCTGATTGTCTGTTTTTAATGTTTATGAAGAGACTCTACTTACCATAATTCAAAGGGAGAGTACACGGAAAACCTGTAAAGTGGGTCCTTAAAATTTAATGGATTTAAAGTGGATCGAGATAGAAGTACTTATAAAACAGTTGCATTCAAAATCGTTGTTGCAAGTTAAAAATTTTCTTCAGAAGTCATATTTGTCTACTCGAAATTGTACATAAAATAATAATTATCAAGACTTATTGGTTTTTTAAGATGTGTACAATCAGTTGCTTGCGCCATGACATGACTTTATCCATAGATATAGAAAAAAAGGGCTTTATCTCGTAAGTAGTATCTTAAGCTCTTGCCGATCACAGTGTTGCGTAACTACAGAAGCTAGTTTCAAATAGAAAAACATTCCATCCAACCTATAATTTGGTCTGGCGTCACTGACAGTAATTTACTCCAATTACGTCCGACTTTCACTGGCCATCTCCAGACCTCCACAAATCTTCATCCCAACAAATTGAAAAAGCAATTTAAAGTTTCTTTCGACCAAACACACATAGAACTTAATAAGTGTTTTTTTTTATCTGATCCAGATTCTATGTGATTATATTTTATGCCGTTTAATAACGGGTTATAAAGATTAACGTTTGGTGTAATTTTGTAAGCTTTGAACTGACCTTGTGCTAGTGTATTACATACAAACTTATTCTGCATTAGATGACAAATACATAAGGTTCTTTCGTACAGCGAAGTACATATGCATGTATATGGTAACAAAAACGCTATCGCTATTCCTTACAGACTTTACAGGTTTTATTGCAGTTGTTGTAAATTGGAAAGGATAAATAAATATGTTCCTGGTATTTCTTATAAGCAATTTTACGTAATGTGCACGTTATTTCTAAAGACTTGGATAGCAAATTAATAATATTAAGTATAAAAGTTAACTTTTAACACTGTGCATAATTGTAAACAAAGCAGTAAAATTGCAAGCCTTTTACAGTGGCTAATAGCACGAATTGTTTATGAGCGCGTAGGTAGATATTCTAATAGGCAATAAGCATCAGTCACTTTGAAATCTTACTAGAGGCGACTGGTGTAGGTAGGTCTTTTAATAGATAAGTTATATTTCTTAACATTATGTCATGATGATGAAGTGTTCTATGAAATATCGTGTTTGGAGTTAAATAGATTATAATAATAATGTGCCAGACAACCTAAGAATCCTGTACCATGAGTACCAGAGCAACGGAATTCGTTTTCCAAAAACAGGGAATCAATTCCGGGAACTTCTCATCCAATGCCCTCGGTGCAAACCGTTGGGCCACCAAGGCCGAGGTAAATAGACTTTCAACTAAATATTAATTTATTTTCACATAACTATAAGCACTAACTGTTTCCCAAAACGTACGTAGTCCTTATACGTAAACCTAAGTGTACGTAAATGTATAATATTAAATGCATAATCATGCATTTCTAACTATGTTAAGAAATTTAAAAAAAAATCATACCAACCGACAAACAGAGGAAATCATATCCAGGGGGTCTACTCCCGTTCTCTGAAGCTTCATTGACATCATGCGTCTATTGATTTGGTCGAGTATTATTTATTTAACAGTAAATTGTTTCGGACGGAGAACGGAAGTACAGGACCAGAAATGAATCTTTATGCCCTAGTTTGACATACAGACGCAGATACAAAACGTCTGATTGAAGGAATTTTCTATGTGTTCGATCTTTGTATTAAATATTAACGAATTATTTCTGTCTGATTCACGAAAGAATTTGAACGTCGGGATAGATGCGTTTAAAATCCGACAGCCTGTGTAACTGAGCACCCGAGCAAAAGTGAAAGCGGCGCTAAAACAGCTCAGTTATTCAAAGCCTGGTGTTTACTCAATTTATTGATATTATAAAATGCTTGACTCCCGAATATCTGATCAGATAACAAGGTTTATTGAATACCATTAATGGCAGCCTTATGTTATTAAAAAATGTTAATCATGACTTTCTTAAAGGGATTATAGCAAAGAACTCTATCTTGGACGCAGTATCTGTCATCGTTAGATTGAGTACATTTTAACTGTCTCTTATTCTGTTGTTCAGTGAAGTGTGAGGTTGAAATGCAATCATAAAACTAGAAATCGCACTAAAACTGTTCCTTGATGTTAAATCTTGGTGACAACATTAGAGGTTATTGAACCTTGCCGATTCATTTACCGTCAGTACTTGTTTGCTCAATCGGGTTCTATTTTTTGCCAATTAAAGAATAAATGGTAAATAAGGCACTTTTTGATAGGAAACTGCAATCGACAGAGGCACAAAAAATGTTTTGTTATCGCAATTTGGTTTAATTCTGTTTTAACACGTTCCATGCGTTGGGCTGATTGTTTTTGCCGAAGCATAAGGATATGGTACATAGTAAAACTATATTAAGTGCATATCTGCTTAGCTGGCTTTCGTATTTCTAGAGTGTGTTTGTGTGTACAATATATACGTTACTTTATCATGTTCAATGTCATTTATAGGTATACCATAAAGAAACTAATTTAGTGCGTGATATGATTAGATATATTACTTTTCTTGATTGGTGACGTTGTTTTGGCAATATCATTTTGTATCCTACCTTAGAATGTTACTTTTCTTTGAGTGCTTGTCCTTTGTCATTGACGATGAAGCCGCTTCACAAGACACGCAGTAGTTTAGCAGTTGAGCTCCTTGTGAAAGAGGTCGTCCAGGGAAGTATTGCCACCTTAGCTATTTCTGCAGCCAAACAGTAATATAAGCATTACTGTGTTCCGATTTGGAAAAGTAAGGGTCCTGGTGAAATTACAGGCACATGGGACTTGTCAACTTATGTCTCAGAGTGGCGGGCGCAGTGGCAGTGCCCCTTAGATCTATGCGATTTAAAGCTTTGAGTGGCACTGCAACCTGCTATGAACTAGCGTATCGCTTACCATCAGGCGAACAACTTGTTCGTCCTGTCACTCGGTATTATATAAATAAAAAGGACTGCACCCAAGTTTGGTATCTAGGTATAACTTTACATTATTACGCTTTTTGTATCTTATGCAATAAAGTAAAAACTTTTTAATCTAACTTTGTCTCGTCACCAAATTTCACGCCATTTCTTCAGTTATAGAAAGTGAAACCAATTGGTACTAAGTCACGCTTACACAGTGTACTATTTTCGTTTGTGAAAGTTATGCAAATCGTTACAACTCACAACTGGGACCTCTATTGTTCTGTCACACATAATCTATAATATGTTATACTTAAACGTTCTTAAATACCCACCATACCATGTTTGTGGCGGAAGTCTACAATCTGACCACGATTCATATGTCATAAAACTTTTTAATCAATATTTGCAAGGTATTATTAGATCCAATTTCAATTTGAAAAGGCTGAAATAATTGAAGTGTGCCATTTGTTACAGTAGTGTGACCAAACGTACATAATTCAAAATTTATACAACAACTGTGAAGTTTGTTTCAGTGTCAAGTTACCGTAGCAGATACCTGCCCTTTATGTTCCCCAAAAACCAATACAAAGGAACCACAATAATATTTTCGTGGCGGCCATCTTTAAACGTGCACAGTACAAAAGGCCGACGAGAAAATAATTTTCTACCGCACAGACAGGACATCTACACTATTGTGAAAGGATTTGAAAGACCCTTTTCACAGCTTCCGAAGCTATCCGGAGCCTTTTTTCACTGCAAATACAGAGGACGCTTTTTTTCGATTTTTCTTTCGCGT